CTGGAAAGTTAAATATATAGGGAGACAATTATGAGGTTACAAGCTAATATTAACTTATAACAGTTCTCTCAAATTACAATCTAATCCCCCAAATCATAGTTGTTAAAGTCTCAAGTTGAACTAAGATGTCAATTTTTTTTTAGGGCGAGCCTGGTCAAAGTAAGACGCTTTTGTCATCCTAATGCATATTAATGTCAAGTTATAAAGAATAATTAAGATATGCAACACAAACTAATCATTATTAAATTAAAGCATATCAATTCAATAAATTAGCTAAATAAAAAACATATCTTTTCTATTTACGTATGAATTCAATAAAATTAATCTACGATCACAATTAGCCACGGACATAGATTTGAAGGGACTTTAAAAAAATTATTTTTTAAGCTATCATAATGAATTTTTTAACATTCATTGATTATAATTTTATTGAGTAATATATTCAATGTCAATATCACAAGCAAATAAGTAATGAATGCAACTTGTATTTTTTGTTTTTGTTTTAAATATCTTTCCTTGTAAGATCACAAATTATTTTTAATCTTTTAAATTTGCCATTAGAGTATGCATGCACAATATTAGTTTCATATTCATCACCAAGTGATTATGACAGCAACGAAAGAAAATTCTTTTGAATAAAATGAGCAAGACAAATTAGTTTTTGTTTGTTTATTTATTTTCTTATAATGGCTTAAAAAAATTCAATATAGAGTGGTTAGGTGTGATAAGGTTCATTTGTCCCACATCAGATCTAGATGGAAAAATGATTGGATATAAATGGGTGGTTATGCAGCACTATCCAACAACTTGAGTTTTTGGGTAAATGGGCAAGCGCCCACCCGTTATAATTAGTATCAAAGTCTGACCCAATCCTCGATCAGGTGTCACGCCAAGTGCCCGACTTGGAAGACATCCGAGTGAGCACCTCGGGTAGGCAGGGTGGTCCGAGCAGCAACGAGGGCATTGCGAGTTTGAGTGGGGGAGAATATAACAAGGGTTATTTGTTCCACATTGGATTCGGATGGGAAAGTGATTAGGTATAAATAGATGAGTATGCAACACTATCCAATAGTTTGAGCTTTTGGATAAATGGGCAGCGCCCACCCGTTATATTAGGTTAGAACAAAAACGTTTAGTGGGGAGAATATTTTTATAGTGGAATTCTTCTTAATTTTAGTGATGGCATATTTGAAGTTTTACAAAATATGAGGTTTTTGATATATCAACTAAGCATGTTCATAAATCATTTTATATGCATATGTATGAGTTAACCAAATCAAATTTGATTATAAATCAGACTATGCAAAACTTACTTTACACATAAATTATTATCAATATTCATAATCGAACACTACTAAATACCAACAAATGTAAGTAATAAACTATAAGTTTATGAATTTTTTCAAATATTTAGTAAGGATGACCACGATATGATATAAAACATTCTAATTTAGAAATCATTTAATAGAAAAATAAAAACGATATGAACAAATCATTAAAAATAAAAGGTGCATTCTTATTTTAGTCTAAAACCTCTAAAAGGTGCGAGCCTTAGGGGTTTATGTGAGCCTTACTGAAAGGGCCGGACACTTGCCATCTGATCCAAAAACTTAAATTGTTTAGTAATGTTACATTTTCACCTAAATATGCTCAAGTCCATCCCGATTCGGATTCAATGTAAGACAAGCCCCCTCTAACATTCTCTCCCACCCAAACTCGTACGCCCTCATTGCGGTCGGATCACCTTGCCTACTTGTTCCTCATAACAATGGGAGGACCCTATAACAACTCGAACTCAGACTCCACCAAGGTGGGCGCTTGGCATGACATTGAATCAATGATTGGGTTTGACTCTGATACTGCTTATAATGGGCTAGAAACTTGCTATATAACCCAAAATCTTAAGCTATTAGGTAGTGTTGCATACTTAGGGATAACAATTTACCCCGCCTCGCTAACCCCATTTAAACTAATTTTTGGGAGCCCATTTATGGGATTTAGGTGCGAATGGGTTTGAGGGGGAGGAAACCCACGCAATTCGGGGTGGAAGTGGGGAAGGTCGCTTCACCCTATCCTATTTAGGCTGCTAATATACTAATTTACTCTCATATATATATATATATATATATATATATATATATATATATGTTAAACTGTAATGGAACCTTAAATACATCATTTTCACTCTTCAACCCATCTAGAAAGATCCAAGAGTCCAAGAGTCCCTCATGACTTGCCACCAACCACCATCATCGACTTCCGTTAACCTTACCGACCATCGATGAGTCTATTTTCTTCTTCTTCTTCTTCTTAACAACAAAGTTGGAGGCTTAACCACCTTCTATGCTAACAAGACCAGAGATCTAGGATGATGGCACCCATGACCATGCCCTCGCTCATCTGTCTGGGTTTTTGCAACATTATACCTTTCTCTTTTGTTTTTCTCTTGGTTTTGTTTGGTGATCTTCGTCTCGTTTCGAATTAGGGTCTTAATTGTTAAGATTGTATTCATGTATTTATGTATGAGGGAATCAATCTATAGAAACAATTAGGGTTCTTGCTTTTTCTCTCTATTGAATTAACATTGAATATATATATATATACACTCAACTCAAAACAGTTTGGGGTGGGGTCAGGGGAAGGCCACTTCACCCTGTCCCATTTAAGCTGCTAATATACTAGTTTACCCTCATATATATATGTATGTGTGTGTGTGTGTGTGTGTGTGTATATATATATGTTATACTGTAATGGAACCCTACATACATCATTTTTACTCTTTAGACCTTCTAGAAAGATCTAAGACTCCAAGACCCTTCAGTCCTTCACGGCTTGCCACCAACCATTGTCACCGACTTCCGTCAACCTCATCAACCACCGGTGAGCCTCTTTTCTTCCTTTTCTTTATAATAAAGTTGGAAGCTAACCCCCCGGCGGGTTAACAGTGATGGTGGGGCTTGGGCCTGGCACACACGAGGCCAGTGTTCGAGTCCTCTACCAAGCCTTCTAATTTCGTCGACTAACCTGGTGCTGTAGCTATGGGGCCGGCTGCAATATCCCCAGTTTGGTGCTTTGGGGGTGGGTCCGAAGGGCCCTACCCCAGGGAGTTCTGGGTTATCAAAAAAAAAAAAAAAAAAGAAGAAGAAGAAGAAGAAGAAGAAGAAGAAGAAGTTGGAAGCTAACTCACCCTCTATGCCAACAAGGTCTTGGATCTAGGACGATGGCACCTATAGCTATGCCCTCGCACCTCTGTCTAGGTCTCTACAACATCATACCTTTCTTTTTTGTTTCTCTTTTGGTTTTGTTCGGTGATCTTCGTCTCCATTCGAATTAGGGTTCTTAATTATTAAGACTATATGCATGCATTTATGTACGAGGGAATCTATGGAAACAATTAGGGTTCTTGCTCCCTCTCTCTTTCTCCCGCTTAATTGTTGAAATGCATGTTTGGTTTGATTAGATACAGAATCTTCGATTTTCATGCACTACATTCGTAGATATATTTAATGCTTTTGTACTTATAATTAGAGTTATTTGGTGAATTTTGAAATGAGGAACAACTTATATATATATTCGGCGAATCTTCAAATAAGCTATTTGGCGAATCTCCGGATTGTTTGTATGTACGTACTTATCTATTAATTATCTCCTTGTGTGGATTTTCTCAATAGTTGTTTTTTAAAAAAGAAAAAAATAATAGGGAAAAAAATTAAGTTAGAGTTTAAACAGGGCGGGAAAACTTAAACGGTGGTGGGGGTGAGGACAAGGTGGGATGGTACATCGTTTAAATGGTTTTGGGTGGGGGACAGGGCAAATAAACTTGGGGGGGAAAGGGGGAGCAAACCCTCATTGTCATCCCTATGTATATTGCTAGCCTATATGTGGTTAAGTCCTTTCGATCTCATCTGAATCCAACGTGAGACAAGCCCTTCTAACACTAGATATGTACTGGGTTAAGGCTCTTGCTGAGTCTGAGGACTTTTTAAAACATAGGCCTACCTTTAACAACTGACCCACAATAATCTTATAAAAAAAAAATCACACCAATTAACGGCAATGAATTTTCATTGGAAAGCATGATCCTTTGATGATCCTCACAAAAATAACTCAATTTAATACATAGTTTTGAATTAATTAAATGCTTAAAATGAATATTACTTGCCATAAAAATAGAATAAAATTCCTAGTGCACAATATTTAAAATTTAGAAAAAAATTAAATTTTAGTGACCAAATTCAAACAAAATTGTTGATCATAAAGTTCAGAAAAGATGATTAGTCACCAAATTTTAAAATTGTAATCAATGGCTAGTTATTCGCAATCAATTTTTAAATTTGGTGTCCGGCATTCACTTACTTGAGTCGGTTTACTTGGCATGATTCAAATTTAAAAAGGTAACGGATAATTTTTTAATTTTTAATTATTAATTAAAATTTGACTTTTATGTTGCATTATGGAGTATTGAAATCAACGTTCTGAAATTAGAATAAATATTTCTTCCAATTTCAATTTCAATTTCAAAGCTCATTTGATTTTCTCTTAATATTTTTAATTTGTAAGTTAAATTTGATCAAATATTACCTTAATATTTTTCTGGTATTCATTTCATGATCTGTTTTCTGGCTAAATGAACAAGATATTTGCATATTGATCTGAACTAATTCAATTATTTGTCCTTGTACTTTTGCACAGATATGGTCCAAAATTTTCACACTCCAGTCCAAGGTCACGCGGGGGGCCATCAACCCCTGGATTTTTCCTTCCCCAACCCCCTTTTACAAGATGTGTGGCACGTGCAAATGCCCACCAGCTCAGGTGTGTCTGTTGTGACTTGACAGGTGTGTTGACCCGACCCGAAATGTCAAAGTATCACCACCCCCAGATTCTTTACAAGCCGAAGCTGATGGAGGTTTTGGGACATCATATATAGTGAGTTTTAACTTTTAATACTCTCCTTCGATTAATTAAATTGAATCTTATTATTATTATTATTTTTTTTGTCGCCTTCCTTAACCAACAACTAAGGTGAAAAATGAGAAGTCAAAAAAAATGTTTCATAACTTGTGACCTGAATGATCTCTTTTTTTAATAAAAAAAGGTGAAAAAGAGCATATGCATTTGCTTGCACTTAATTTCCAATAAAAAAAGAAAAAGAAAAAAGAAAGAGGTTTCCTTGGCATAGTCTAAGCAGATTCCTTAGCAAAATGACAAACCATTTTTCACTGCCAGCTTCCACCTTATCCTGCTCACACTCGTCCAATCCCCACCACCAAACTCTAACTAACCTACACACAGAGATGTACATGCATATGTTATAACATATATGCATATACATGTAGAGAGAGAGAGAGAGAGAGAGAGAGTTGCAGGTGCAGGGAAGATCTGTGACAGTGTTTAAGAATTGAGGTAGGTGCTTTCATGCGTTACGAAGATGCAAGTAAAGAAAGGAATGTTCTGATAACTGACCATTTTCATCGATCAGCCTCGATCTCATCACATGCATCACTTGTCATTTGTTCTTTTAAAAGTTATATATACATCTCTCTCTCTCTCTCTCTATATATATATATTATAGTTAGCATATATTTAAGGCTCAATTAATTTTCCTACTTTCTTTTCTTCTTCTTTCCTTTCTCTTAGCGAGGCCCAAAGTCCAAACAATCAACTACAAGACAGGTGAGAGTGAACTTTTTATGATATAACAAGATGGAAAATAACTCTCTAGAGCTTCCTATTTCAACTCCTTTGTTGATTCCCACATTGAAAGAAGCTTCTCAGGATGAATATTTACATGAACAAAACTCAAAATGTCAAAGATGGCCACCGACCCTTTCCGAGGTCAGTCTATTTGCCTGTTAATTCACACACACACACATATATATGTATGTTAATTTGTGTGTTTTGCAATCAATGTAACTCAAGGGCATTGCAAGCCCGTTTGAATTTGGAGTCTATTTGTACCTTAATTCCTTTGGACAGGGTTGGAGATCTAGTTTTGTATGTGTTGGAGAATCACTCTAACTCAACGGTTCTTGTTAGTCTGTTTGGGTTTAGAGTCTATTTGTACTTAACCCTTTTACAGAGTTCGAGATCTAAGTATCTTACTTGGCGAAGAATCAATGTGACTCTCTCTTTATGTCTCTTTCTCAGGTGGTTGAAGAGTTCAAACAGCTCTACACCATAGCCTTTCCAATGATCATCACCGGTCTACTCATCTACTGTAAATCCGCGATATCGATGCTTTTCATGGGGAGATTAGGGAAAGAGGCCTTAGCAGGTGGCTCACTCTCCCTTGGCATCGCCAACATCACCGGCTACTCGGTCATCTCAGGCCTAGCCATGGGCATGGAACCCATCTCTTCTCAAGCTTGTGGAGCCAAGCAATGGCCACTCATGTGTCAAACCCTCCAACGCACCATTGCAATTCTTCTCTCTGCTTGCATACCCATCTCTCTCTTGTGGCTAAAGATGGAACCCATCCTTCTCTTTTTCGGCCAAGACCCAATTATCTCTTCCATTGCCTCTACCTATCTAGCTTTCTCTCTCCCAGACCTCCTCTTCCAATCCTTCATCAATCCTCTCAAAATCCACTTGAGGACACAGAACATAACTCTCCCTCTCATGCTCAGTGCCGGCTTTTCACTCGCTCTTCATGGTCCGGTCAGCTACGTCTTTGTCCACCGGCTAGGCCTTGGCATCAGAGGGATCGCGGCGGCGGTGGCTATCACAGATTTCAATCTACTTGCAACCCTATTAGTGTATCTATGTTTTTCAGGCATGTCATTAATTACCGTCGTCATTTATCTTATTCCCATATAAATAATGGTTCGACACGTCACACTGTTTGTCTGTTACCTATGTTGAACTTTTTAAAGTCATTTTTAATAACTTCGCTATCAATATATGTTTTTTCAGGAAAAACATGGCAATGTTGGTCACTTACTCAATGCTTTGCTGAGTGGAAACCAATTATAAGCCTTGCAATTCCTAGCTGTGTATCTGTATGCTTAGAGTGGTGGTGGTATGAGTTGATGATAGTGTTGTCAGGAATACTTCCAAACGCGGCTGAGGCGATGGCAGCCATGGGAATTCTCTTGCAGGCAACTTTTTCTATTTTTTATTTTATTTTATGTAACGAATAATCAATCCACTCGCTAACCACTTTGAACTCTCTTGCTCCAGGCAACTTCATTTGCTTACATCTTCCCTTCGTCGATGAGTTTAGCCGCGTCAACACGGGTTGGGAACGAGTTAGGAGCAAACCAACCGAGGAAAGCCAGGATTTCATCTCTAGTTGCACTTTCATGCTCCATTTTCAATGGTTGCATTGCTATGTCATTCATGATGTCGATGCGGAACGCTTGGGGACGGGTTTTTACCATTGACGAGGCGATTCTAACGTTGACGGCGACGGCATTGCCGGTGGTGGGGTTGTGTGAGCTAGGGAACTGCCCTCAGACCACTGGTTGTGGGGTGTTGAGGAGTAGTGCCAGGCCAAGTTTGGGTGCTAATATAAATTTGGGATCCTTTTACGGAGTTGGGTTCCCTATTGCAGTTTTTATGGGCTTTGTGATGGATATGGGATTACTGGGCCTCTGGTTGGGCCTGGTTGCGGCCCAGCTGGTGTGTGCTCTTCTAATGGTCCTTGCCTTGATGAGAACAGATTGGGTGTTACAAGCAAACAGAGGCAGAGAACTAATTGGTGTAGATGATGACCAAGAAGCACAGAGTAAGACCTTTGCAGGATTATTACCAATCAAGATTGTGAATTAGCAATCAGAATTTTTAGGTTTTGTTTTTAATTTTGAGTACGTTATTATGAAAGTCTTCTTTTGTTTTTAGTTGTTACTTGCACATACATGCCTCTAATGAGATTCGAACCCTGACCTCTCATTGGAAAGTAGGGGTCTGATACCGCTAGGCCACCAGCCTGTTGGTCGTTATTATGAAAGTTTTGGTAGTTCAACATGAAACCTCAAAAACAATTTGTTTCAATTAGGGTTTGCAGAGCCATGAGTGTGAAAATGCATGGTTGAAGTGTCCAAAATGGTCTGTTCCTATAAGAGTGGATAGAGGCTCAAACTGAGAGTTGATCTGTCCCTTATGTCTTCTACATGATCGATATACGCACATAATATGTACAAAGAATTAGAGCTAGCAGAGGAAACCACCATGACCAAATTCTGTTTAATTCCCATTGTTTTCCAAATCAAGAAACATTATAGGAAGTATCTTTCGCTTTATGGGCGGCGATCGGATAACTTGTGGAGAGAAAGGATGGAGGCAGAATCTGGAAAAGAAAGTGCAACTTGTGGAGTAGAAAATGTTATATTGTCCATTGCTTCTTTGATGTTCATGCACTTGATGGAATTTTGCCTCAAGTTGTACAAAAAAGTTATTCATTATTGAGAATATAAAAAGCCCAGAAGAATCATAAACTTGTATATAAAGAAGGCTGGTACCAAGTTCAAAATTCAAATTCACATCATTGTTAATAGTTTTTTTATTGCATCAGCTACAGCAGCATTAGAGAATGTCAAGTTTGAGTTTTCTGAATTTCCAAAATGGCCTTTCGAGGAAGGTCTCACTGAAACCAACCCAATCAAGCCTCTCCAAACAGAGACAAAGCCCTAGCTTCTCAAAGGTTTTCCAGCCAAATGTAGAAGAAATGAAAGGGGTGTTCAACAAATTCGACATCAATAAAGACGGGAAGATCTCTCGCGAAGAGTACAAGTTAGCACTGAGGGCACTGGGGAGAGGAAACGAGGGGAGTGAAGTGTCCAAGGTGTTTGAGGCCATTGACACTGACGGAGATGGATTCATCGACTTCAAAGAGTTCATGGAAGTGCATAACCGGGGAGGTGGGGTGAAGACGAGTGATATTCAGAGGGCGTTTCGCGTGTTTGATTTGGATGGAAATGGGAAGATAAGCGCAGAGGAACTGCTGGAGGTTATGAGGAAGCTGGGAGAGAGGTGCAGCTTGGAGGCGTGTCGTAAAATGGTGAGAGGAGTGGACACTGATGGGGATGGACTGATCGACATGGATGAGTTTATGAGCATGATGACAAACACCATGAAGCTGTCTTAGAGTTTTCATGCTTATTTTTGGAAGTTACATCTTTAGATTGTTATGTTGCACCTGTTTTTTTTTTTTTTTTTTTTTTTTCAACCATCAATATTGGTGTTTAAATTTGATAAAACGTTTCTATAAATTAGTACTAAATGCTTGAAAGACCGTTTTGGCTTTTCTATTCCATATCGTAGGGTGGATCTCGAAAGATATGAAAAATCTACCTCCAAGCTTTACATATGATTTTCGTTGAATACGACTTTCTACATCATTCTGTATGTATCTATGAGATAGAGTATATATAGATTCTGTTGTTCTTTCCAAGTGTAGCTATTTGTTGATCATAAGCTAAACTTTAGATTGAATTCAAGTGTAAAAAGAATAGAACAAAGTGTGGATGCAACCAAAAGAGCATGGAGGAATTTGTGTTAGTGGGAGGGTAGAAATTTTCCTAAAGAGTAATATGCTTGAAAACACTTTCAGTATAACAAAAAAACATAGAATAAAGTGTGGCCACAACAGCACAGTGCTGCAACTCATGAGAACCTTTGTCCTGTTTGATGGTGAGTGAAAGGGATGGGGATTCTGAATTTTCTTTCAGTTCATCTTCTTTACCCAAAAATTAGTACATGATTCCGGCTAATCAATATGTGTGACACATCAATAAAATGTTGAATAAAGCTTACACATATGTGACTTATTTATTGATGTGTCACATGATGGTTGGCCTAGGACATTGTAATATTTCTTGGTACCCGAGGAGTACTATAATACCCATTGACTTTGGGTACTATATATATTGTTGCTATACCGGAGATACTAAGATGCAAGCGTGCACATAACTGTGTCTACTTAATGTAAGAGGCCAAGAAAATTTTCCAATGTTCCCTATGTTCAGTACTACTCGAGTGTCACTCCCACCTCATTTTTGAATTTGAATTTGTTTCACTTATTTGAAGGTTTATTCAAGAAAGGTGTAGATACTACGTAAACATTGAGCAACAATTGGGACCAGTTTGTTAATTGGGCATGCCAACATTGGAATCAAGACTCTCTTGTGGTTGGGGTCTGTCGTCTAACCCTAGCCTCTTTTATTTACTATATACGGCATGAGAGAGAGAATAGAATTTTCAGAAACTCACCATCATCACAGACGAAGCGGTTTGAATCCATTGCTAGTATTCTAAAAGCTTCAAGGAGATCATCCTTCTGTAGCCTATCTAATGAATGGTTAGCTCATAGTTGTTATCAACGGCCATTCCATAGTCTAATTCTCTTTTGTGTTGTGCTGATATGTTGAGCCTCATCTTATTATTATTTTTTTTTCGGTAATTAAGTAATTCACATAAATAAAAATGAGTAATTACAAAAAAGGAGGGCATTTCCCTCGGCCCAAACATTACTGGGCAAGCAACTAAGAACAAAATGTCCACTATAGTAGCCCAAAGAACCCAACAAAGAAGCCCAAAACCTGACTAAACCCATGGTCCAAAAAAATACTTCCTTTTGCACACAGGTATGTACCTTCAAACACATCCTCGGGTGGGATGAATCAACAAATCATAAAGTATCAACACTACTGGGTTATGGTTGGGTGGTTGAGCTGTTGGAATAGGTGGTGGAGGTTGTGTGTTGGGTGGTTGCGAAATAGAAGAAATGATTTGATTGGGCAAACTCATAAAAGGATGATGGGAGATTACAATCTGCTGCAATTTCTTTTTTTTCCTAGTTGTACTCACACACACATGCCTCAACTGAGGCTTGAACTCCCGACCTCCCTTTTGGGAAGTACAGGCTTGATACCGCTGGGCCACTGGCCTGTTGGTTGCTACAATTTCTTTTGGTATGGCATGTTTAAACCAGGTGAGCTTATGCCAGTGGGTAGGTGGGATTGGTATGGTTTGTTTAAACCAGGTGAGCTTGAGCCTCATCAGGGGCAGAGCCAGGATTGTATGGTTGGGGGCCAAACTTATAAGTGAACATTACATCTATTATAAGACTACTTTAAGCTAAAAAATAAAAATAAAAATTACTATTGATTATATCCATACAAAAATATATCTAACCAAATTTTTACCAAATTGTTTAAAAAAAAAAAAAAAATTGTAATTTAAAGAAGCTTTTTTTGAAACTTCCCTAACAAAACACAAATAAAATTAAGCGAAAATTTAATGAACTCTCAAATAAACAAACAAATTGAAGGCCTTATATGCTAAGGCTCAAGCAAATTTTCAAAAAATAGATTTTCAAAATAAAAATTCCAGAAAATATTAGAATCTGAAAAATCTATTGGCAATGGAAAAAAGATAGAATTTGAAGAAATCAAAACATGATTTTAGCTATAAATAAGTCTCAAAAGAAAAGTAAAATGACTTAGAACTAATGAAAATGGAGAACCCACAAAAATTGAAGTCTAACAGAATATATTTTTAAGATATCTCAATAGATTCAAGCAATATAATTGAAATTGCTTCACTCACCTTATTTAGGGTAAAAACCAAAGCAAAATGAGAGAACAAAAGGAAGTGAGAAACTTGCTTTAGAAAAAAAAACAAAGACAAACAAGAAAAAGTGGAGCACAAAAAAAATGAAAGAAACCTCAATTGGAAAATAAAAAATAAAAAATTTGAGAAAGAGAGAGAGGGCCTCAAAAGGATAAAGGGTATTAATATATATTAATAGATATAATAGATATTAAAAGAGAGAGATTATTGCAGTAGATAGATAGATATGGAGTACATTATATATATATATATATATATATATATATATATAAACCTATATATACATATTTTTTTTGTTAAAGGCTCATTAAAGAAAAATTCCTAGGGGGTCACCAAGTATAAATTTACCTTAGTTACCTGTACTATTTTTTGTTTTAGCTTATACTAAAAAAAGTTTTCAAAAATTTTTGGGGTGGCCATTGCCACCCCTATCCCTCCTAGCTCCCTCCGCCCCTGAGCCTCATCTTGCTGTGCTGATTGTTTGGCCTTTTTCAAGCCATGCTTGTTGGGTTTCTCAGATTATATATAAAATTTACTTAACCCTTATATATATATATATATGTTCGGCTAGAGAAAAAGCTAGGTTTCGCTTTCCACTGTGAGTGGAGAGTGGAGTGGGTGTGTCTGGCGTGCCAGGAGTTGCAATCGTTCCAAAGTGAATATCCGAATAATATTCCAGTTGGAAGTTGCAGAGATCACGCGATTATATGAAGGACTGGAATGACTTCCTTCAAAGGTTCTTTTTGTTTTGAAAAAGGACTTTGGGACCGTTCTATAGCTAGTGGAAAGAAATGCGGTATTGAAAGTGTAACGACCCACTTCACCACATGGTATGATATTGTCCACTTTGGGCCTGAGCCCGCACGGTTTTGCTCTTGGGCTTTATCCCAAAAGGCCTCATACCAATTGGAGTGACACACTTACATATAAACACTTCACCTTTTTCTTTCCTAGGCGATGTGGGCTTGTACACCTGTAGCTCACCAGTGTGGTAGCCTGTTAGTGTCTTGCACCCGCCCACGGTACACCTGCCCACAGGGTCATCACAATCCACCCCCCTTGGAGGCCCAACGTCCCGGTCGGCACACTTCTTGGGTCAAGGTTTGATACTATTTGTAACGACCCACTCCACCACATGGTATCATATTGTTTGCTTTGGGCCTGAGTCCGCACGGTTTTGCTATTGGGCTTTACCTCAAAAGGCATCATACAAATTGGAGTAGCCTGCCAGTGTCTCGCACTTACCCATAGAGTTAGCACAATCCACCCCCTTTGGAGGCCCTACGTCCCCATCGGCACAATTCCGGCTGGGTCAGTTTGTAACGACCCACTCCATCACATGGTATGATGACCCTGTGGGCGGGTGTGCCGTGGACGGGTGCGAGACACTGCCAGGCTACCACACTGGCGAGCTACGGGTACACAATCCCACATCGCCTGGGAAAGGAAAATGTGAAGTGCTTATATGTAGGTGTATCACTCCAATTGGTATAAAGCCTTTTGGGGTAAAAGCCCAAGAGCAAAACCGTGCTGGCTCGGGCCCAAAGCGGATAACATCATACCATATGGTAGAGTGGGTCGTTACAAATGGTATCAAAATCTGACCCAGCCGGAAGTGTGCCGACGGGGACGTTGGACCTTCAAGGGAGGTGGATTGTGATGACCTTATGGGCGGGTGTGCCGTGGGCGAGTGTGAGACACTGTCAGGCTACCACACTGGCGAGTTACAGGTGCACAGTCCCACATCGCCTGGGTAAAGGAAAGGTGAAGTGCTTATATGTAAGTGTGTCACTTCAATTGGTATGAGGCCTTTTGGGGTAAAGTTTAAGAGCAAAACCGTGCAGGCTCAGGCCCAAAATGGACAATATCATACTATGTGGTGGAGTGGGTCATTACAAATGGTATCAGAGCCTGACCGAGCCGGAAGTGTGCCGACGGGGACGTTGGGCCTCCAAGGGGGTGGATTATGATGACCCTGTAGGCGGGTGCGAGACACTAACAGACTACCACACTGGCGAGTTACGGGTGTACAATCCCACATCGATTGGGAAAGGGAAATATGAAGTGCTTATATGTAGGTGTGTCACTCTAATTGGTATGAGGCCTTTTGGGGTAAAAGCCTTAGAGCAAAACCGTGCGGGCTCAGACCCAAGACTTGAAGTTGGGGGCAATTTGTAGACACTAAAAAATTCACATGATGGGTTCATACTATAATTTGGGCTAATCATCAATTTGATCCCACTTTGAAATATGGGCCGGTTAGCCAAACCACCTAAGCCCACTACTAGATATGGGTCATGGATCAACCCAAACTACTCAACCCACTTTAATGGGTCAATTTCAAATTGCTAACTAACTAGGCCCATTTGGAGATTAGGTTAATTAAATAAAACTATAATTATTCTTAATATATATATATATATATATATATATATTTGAGGATAATTATCACTTAGGATAATTATCCAAATTATAATTGTGATAATAATCCAAAATGACTCAAATGATTATTTTGTCCTTTCATGAATTCTATAAATGGAAGTAAGGGGGGAAGGAGAAAGGGGATCCGAAGAGAAGAAAAAAGCTCTGCCGAATTTTACACACATTCACCTCTTAAAGCTTTGAAGACTCAACACTTTGAATACAAAGGACTATAAGCACGTTTTACAAGTGCCAACCCTT